TGGGGGGGGGGGGGGGGGGTGGATGTGTGTGCAGGAGTTGATGCAGGAGGCGGCCGATGCAGGCGACTACAAGACGGCTGCCGAGCTCAAGGAGCGGCTGGAAGTGCTCACCATGGCCAAGTCAGTCAGTCAGTCGGTGGATCGGATCACGATACGCCACCATGCTGGTTTGTTTCTCTCTGCACATCACACAACACATGCATGCCGGCAGGTGGGATGTGACGGCCGAGGAGGGCTCATACAGCCGATTCCTCGACCAAGACGAATGGTGTGTCAGGTCGGGGACGGGATGTGATGTGAGCAAGGCACATTGACTGACGGACACGCACATCTCTGTCTGTGGCCGGTTGCCCGCCTGCCTGTGTGGTGTGTGATGTGAGCGTAGGTATGCCCGCAAGGTGTACGATAGGCTGAAGGAGGCGAGGCGGCAGCGGGAAGAGAGGCAGCAGCGGCAGAGAGACGAGGAGGCCGGGGACACAGACAAGACGTGACAACCTTGTAGATGTGTAGATGTGCCTTGTAGAGAGTCGGGGTGGGTGAGTGTTTCCATTTGTGATCTAGATGGCATTAGGCGCCTGAGGAGAGGAGTGAGAGCATTGAGTGGATTTTGTATGTATGAGTGACCGAGTGACAGTGACACTGACAGTGACACCGGCAGCATCAACCTCGCGTCCAACGGCACCACCGCCACGGCCACGTCAAGTAGCGGCGAGCAGGCTCACAGTCCCATGAAGGCCGTCGACGGCAAAAAGGTCCCCATCACACATCAATCACGACATTATAACACGGACAGACCATAATTTTGTGTGTGTGTGTGTGGTGTGTGCAGGAGACGTATTGGGCGTCTGCTGGTCTGCCGAGCGCCGCTCCCCTGCCCGCCCCTGTCAATCTCACCATCGACCTCGGCCAGCCGCGACGCCTCAGCGAGGCCCGCATCGACTGGGAGTTTCCGGCCCTCGACTATGTCCTGAGTACGGGCCAGGACGGCAGCCACTTCACGAGGGCACACAGCAACGACGCCAACGCCCGGAACGTGACGACCGACTCGCTGGGCGGCGTGACAGCCCAATACGTGCGCGTGTCGATGCGCCGGCCGCACCCGCGATACGGCAAGCTCGGGACTCGCTTCCTCTTTGGCATCCGCGAGCTGTCAGTGTTGGCCAACCGGCTGCAGCCCATCGTGCAGGACTGCAACGACGCCGAGAACCAGCCCGACGGACGAGCCAAGTTCTTTCTGGAGTTCGTCACAGGTAGATAAATCAGCCAACCCACCACCGCCCACAACAGACACACAGACACACAGACACCTCATCTCACCTCATCTCTGTGTGTGTGTGGGTCGATGTATGTGTTGTGTGGGTCAGAGCATGACCCCTCTGTGTCTCGCGAGCTGTCTTCCGTCGGTCCCGACGTCAGGGCGGCACTGCACGCCCTCGACCTGCACGCCGAGCGCCTGGAGGACCTCAAGTCCGACATGGCCAGGTGCTACGACGACAAACAGAGATACGAGGCCCGCATGAACTCAACCGAGGGCAAGCTCGACACACTCAGCCAGCACCTGTCGGAGCTCAAGACAGCCACCGCCATGGCCATGGCCGGTGACGCAGCCGACGCCATGGCGAGAGAGGGAATGAGCGCCGGCGACAGCATGACCCACCCTGCCGAGGACTGCTACGAGATCAAAGCGGCCGACAGTGCGGCGGTGTCTGGCTTCTATTGGATCCTTCCCAAGTGTGCGCCCGCCCCCATCCGCGTGTGGTGCGACATGCAGGACAGAAACGCCGCTAGATCACTCTTCGTCTGGTGAGTGAGGGCCATATTAATGACACACACACATGCACTCACACACGCAGCGCAGAGACAGAGATGCCACACATCACCTCATCAATGTGTGTGTGTGTGCGTCTGTCGACACAGG